CTACTAGGCCTGCTCATGACTCGTGAGACCTATGTGAACCTGGCTCTGATACCAATATATCACGACCCAAATCCATAAGAGGTCGAGACTGCACCTAACGCCGCCGTTAGGCAAGCCCACAAGTGAAACTACTAATTATTTACCCCTTTTTAACATATTTTAATACATAAATTCCTTCTTTTTAGAGAACAGTTTAAACTTGTTTTCATGCAACTGTGAGAAGTCTTTTTAAACAAAATGTCAACAAAATAAGTACATACTCTGCGATGGTAGAAATGACGAGTACAACAATACATAAATGCTATAAATCCCCAAAACTCGGCGTCACAAGTACATGAGTAATCTAAATAATATACAAAACTACTAAAACTATTGTCTGAAAGTGATAGACAGGAATAGTAAATAAGATAAAAGGATACTCCGGTGCTACGGATCGTAGCAAGGCAAGAAGCTCACCACTAAGTCTCCGTAGATGATCGAATACGCGCTCGCGTGACCACTGGTGGAACCTATCTCAGTACATGCACATCAGTGCAGAAGTGTAGCGAGAGTATGGAAAAACAACGTGTACCCAGTAAGTATCTAGTATAACCTCGAAGAAGTAGTGACGAGAGGTCGACTTGACACTTACTAGAGGTCAATAATAATAATATAAGTGCATAAAGTAGACATGGTGAGCATACAAATGGTATCAATGAAACAAATAAAAGCAACTAGAATAAATACAATAGGGGCCCGTATCACATCACCAACATCTCATAACTTGCTGTGAAGGCACTAACTCAATTACTCAAACTGGAACCCATTTCGATTATTAAGCACGAAGTTGCCGAGGCGAACGACCCGATCCCATAAGAATAGTGGTACTCAGTACTGCTGAGGCGAACATCCTGATCCCATAAGAATTGTGTTATCATAGTGCTGAGGCGAACGGCCCAATCCCATAAAAGTGGTGTTATCATACTGCCGAGGCGAACTGCCCGATCCTAATAGAGTAGAGAAATTTACCTCGCCCGCGGAAGTACTTGTGAGGCGAAAAGACATGGATTTTCACAATTTATTAAGTATTCCCCAATTTTCCGAAATAAGAAGGTTAAGTCAATATTCGCAAATTTAAATCCCTAGTCTCTTCCCTAATCAAGGCAATTAATACGCATAATAATTACAACAGTACAATTAAAAGCATGATGTGAATCTAAGTCTACTCGGACATATCATAGAATATAGCTACGCACGGGCTCTCGTCTCCTCGTGCGTAGGTAGCTCCCCACACAAGTAATACACAACAATAATACGCCTAAGGGGATGAGTTCCCTCTTACAAGGTTAGGCAAGAGACTTACTTTGATCTCAAGTTTTCAATCTGGTACTCCAACCTCACTAGAATCCTTCGAACGACGTCCCAGACTCTGAAACTAATCAAAAGTAATATAAACTAGTAAATATATGCTCAAGGTCCATATTTTAGCCTTTATAGTAGTTACCCAACTCAATTTGGAAGATTAATGAAATTCACTCCCGGGCCCACGTGCCCGGATTCCGGAAATTTTTGAATATAATTGTTACCCATGATCTGCCGAACTCAAATATCTAATTTGTTCCCATTTCCATCACCAAATTCGTGGTCAAATCCCAAATTTACCAAAACCTAGGTTCTTCACAAATCCCACAATTTTTTCATGTTTAATCTACCTAAAATCCGCATAATTAACTTAAAAATTGGTGGGAGTCACTTACCATAGGATATTGATGAGAATCCCCCTCAAATGTGCTCTCAAAACCGCCCAAGACCAAATGAAATGTGAGAAAAAATGGCCTAAGTCTCAGATTAAAAGGCCTCACTGCCCAACGATTTCTGCTTCTACGGACCTTGGGTCGCACCTGTGGAAAATCCATCGCAGGTGCGGTCCTCACCAAGCTTGGCCAAGTCCGCTTCTGCGGAGAAGCATACGCACCTGCGTATCCGCTTCTTTGGAGATGCGTCTGCGCACTCGTGCATGCGGAGAAACGCCCGCGCTTGCGACCCCAAGCCTTCTTGGCCTAGCCCGCACCTGCGACCACTTTCCTCGCACCTGCGAGCTTACAGGTGCGGTAAACCCTCTGCTTCTGTGACCATTGGCCAGCCCACTCCGGGCCGCTTCTACGATCGATGGGCCGCTTCTGCGAGCTTGCACTTGCAGCCAATTCCACGCAGGTGCGAACGCACCAGACCTGAAGCACCAGCAGTTCCCCTATGTCCAAATCCAAGTCTGATTCCAATCCGTTTGCATCCAGGCCCCCCGGGGACCCCATCCAATTACACTCACACATCCAACAACATAATACAGACCCGATCGCGCGATCGAAACACCAAAATAACATCTAGAATTACGAATCGGACGCCAAAACGCATGAATTCGACATGAAACTCAAAAACTTCTAAAAACACTTTCGCGCGTCCGATTCCTATCAAATCAACTCAGAATGATGCCAAATTTTGCGTACAAGTCATAAATCTTCATATGGAACTATTCCCAGGCTCGAAATCCCAAAGGACCTCGATAACACAAAAGTCTACTCCAAACCAAACTTAAAGAACTTGAAAAACCTTCAATGCGCCAACTTTCAATATTAAGCGATGAAACGCTCCCGAGTCATTCGAAACCCGATCCGAACACACGCTCAAGTCCAAAATCATCATACGAACCTATTGGGACTATCAAATCCCAGTTCCGAGATCGTTTACTCAAAACGTTGACTCAAGTCAAACTTAACCATTATTGGCTACTATTAAGGAACTATGTGTTTCGATTTCAACCCGAACCTTTCCAAACCTAAACCAATTACCCCTGCAGGTCATAAAACAGTAAAAGCACATACATGAGGTCTTAATTAGGGGAACGGAGATCTAGAAAGTAAAATGATCGGCCGAATTGTTACATATTGTATTTAAAGTAACAATATGATACGATACAATAAGTAACAATCATCCAAACAAGCAGTTAATGAAATAATTCATAGCTACGCAAATGTCTATAGATTGTTTTACACCATAAATTTCAAAAGATTTTCTTTCTAAGGAGTACTTGAAAATTTAATTTAGATTACACAACTAACCATGTTTTACAAGGAGTTCGAAATCAGGTTGTGCCTACCACCATTCATGTGGGTTAAATGAACTTCCTAAAGGTAGGATCTGGAGTTGGTATATTTCAATAAAAGGTTCTTTATTTTGTTTATAGATTAAATAATAATTTGGCATAATATGTCAATACTCCACTCCAGTTACTCTGTGCATACCTAAATTATCGCTAGTTCAAATAGTCAAGTGTCGGAGATAATTAGGACCAACAACAGCTTAGTGCGCAGTGCACTGAATCAACGAACAAAGTTGTTTCAAGTTAGCGAAACAATCAATCAGCTTCCGGTTAATTTTAGGGGTCGTCATCCAACTAGCGTATATTTTACAAAAGTCATTATTCTATTTTTTATCACTTAAAAGTGACTCAACTTTTTCAACTTTTTCTTTCTCACTTAAAAGTCATTCTAACTCAAATCATATAAAATATTCTACAAAAAATCTGTAAACTTATTACAAAAATCTAATAATAATGACATATCTGCTTAAATGACCTTACCCTGTTTGGCTCATTTTCCGTCAATCCGATTTGACCCATACCCAAATAAGTTATTAATATAAGACCATCAAAATGAAAAGACAAGAACAATCATTTTATGCTAAAAACAATTCTTCATATGTTTGTTACAAAATAACTCTAATGCCACCAATTCCCCAAAATTCCATAAAAATATACATAGAACTAGCTTTTGCATCCTTCAGATCACTTTATAATGTCAAAATGTTGCTTATTAAACAATATCAATAAATAAAAATACTACTCAACAGCTAAAGTGCATAATGGAAGTTGTCTTATTAAACAATATCAATAAATAAATATACTACTCAACAACTTAAGTGCATAATGGAAGTTGTCAAGACACACAGCCTATAGCATTAATAGTTTGGACAAAAGAAAGACACAACATAATATTTTATTGACTGTATCTGTACGACCAAGACCCAAAAAGAAATTTAAAAACCGTAATTATTATTATTAGCTAGCGTTTGGCCATAGATATCCAAATTTATTTTGAAAAATCTGATTTGGGTGAAGTTTGGTTTGAAGATGAAAATGTGTTTGGACATCTATTTTGGGTGAAGTTTGGTTTGGAAAACACATGAAACATGACTTATACACATAAGTTCTAAAAACTATCAGAAATACCCAACAATACCATTATCAATAACATTCATTATATTATCGCAAACCATAGTCCTGGACATAAATAAATTTGATACAAAATTATCATTTTTATAATAAATTACATGATACACTATCAGATGACCGAGAAAACGAAGCAACATCTTTACAAAATAATAAATGGTGAGCTTTTTTATAAAATACAAAAGTTTGGGGCAATTTTTTAAAAATATAATAGTGATATTTTGGCCCAAAACCAGCTATTGAGCTTGTTTTGGGATTTGGGATTTGGGACTTGGGATTTGGCCAAAATGTAGATAATATCTATGGTCAAACATGTGTTTGCCAAATAAAACCCAAGTTTATTTTGACAAAATTTATAGCCAAACAGGACCTTAAATTAAAAGACCTATTTCAAAGAGTGGCCACAGAGTGTATTTTATTAGGTGGAGAAACGTGGTTTTTTTTTTCTCAACCTATTTGGGTTATGGTTCAACTCGAGCTGATGGGGAAATGGGACTAAAATGGTATGGTCATTTAAGCTTATGTGACATTATTATTAAATTATTTAAGGCATTAAATTTAATGCCTGCCAAAAAAAATTATAAGACATCTTATAAGTTTTAAGCTAGAATGAGAAAGATGAAATTGAGTTACTTTTAAGTGATAAAAAATAGAATAATGACTTTTGTGAAATAGACACTTACCTAAGAAGCATTACAGAATTACAAATATATAAAGTTTTTTACTTTAGTTTTTCGACTGCCACTCGGATGCTCTTTATTTATTCATATAGTATATAAAATAAAAGCAAGTAGAAAAACTAAAATGCTACAAGACAGGCACAATATTAATGATGCTAAAATGTCAACTTAGGCTACATACTTAGAAGACTAAAATACATTTTTATCACATTATACTAATTAGTAATTCCTATTAAAACAGGTTAAAAAGCAAAGTGAAAGAGGATGTGCTCAGTAAGGAACAATAATAGATTCTATGAGCTCTTGGAGTGGAGCCAGCTCCTTTTTGTCAATCAGCCCGAACTCCTGCAGAATAAACATCAATTATATATAAGCATTAACATAATCAATCTCTAAGATAAGGAATTATAAGAAACCTAAAGAACAAATTTTGCTGCATACTGAAGTTCTTGACATAATCAATGTTTTCACAGCAACTCTCATCACTTCCTTAGCAAATAAAAGAAACTGCAGTAATTTCATTGCCCCATTTTGGCTAACTTGGTGATCTTTGTTTCCAATAGACTCCATTATTCTCCATTGTGTAGTAGTTCATTCAAATTAATCACGTAGACTATCTCTTCTATTTTTTCCTTTTTTGGTGGTATGGTTTAATTATTTGCATATCCTATATGTTACTTCCTGAGTCCAGATATGCGAGTAATAGCATATAATTGCAAATTAAGAAACAGACATGAATTTGTGGAGTCTCTCCTCTCTTTATTGCATCGGATAGATTTCGATAAAGGTTTGGAGGAATTAGCAATTTGGGAGTTATTGGTATTTAATTAGAGGGGAGTGAGCATAAGTTGGAAGATGTGAAGGAGGATGGAAAGAGGAAGTGAAATACGCAGGGAACTTCAGAAAAAACAACAGTCGATTATGCAAATCCTGATACTGTAAAATGGTTATTATTCTCCTCCAACCAAAGAAAATATGGTAAACTGATTTAACACGAATAAAAGCCAGATAGAGCAGCAATTGACAAAATCCAATATCAGATTTTTAACGAGTAAATAATTTGCTAAATGATCCATCTTTAGGCTTAGAGGGAGGAGAGGCTTTTGCTTTTCAGTTGCTGAATGGGAACTTCAGTTCAGAAATGCATTATCCGATTGAGATATTTATTCTTTTTACAAAAAACAGATATTCCACGAGACGATAAAATAAGATGTCTAAGAAGTACATCTCAAATCTCAGTTGAGTCAAAATTAGGTTGACATCGGTGTACAGAAACTTCAAATAGAAGGTAAACAGAGAGAATGTGCCTGTGTGTGTCATTCAAAGAAGACCAAAATATAGAGGGGGGAAAAAGAGAGCTAAGACTCTGGAAATTGAATATTTGAGAAACTGAAACTACTGGAGGAAAAAAGGTAATATGATGTAAATTAGGTAGACCTATGCAATGACCATGTCTAAAACTTCGGAAGAAAGAAAACTAGTAACATGCACAAACAAGAAAGAAAATGTATTCAAGTTCTACAATTTAATAACTCACATGGGTGAAGAGTATGAAATGCTTGAAGCACGTATTCAAATGGGCTTCCTCCTTAAGGCTCACGATCTTCTGAAAATGAGAGTGATAAATATGTGCATATACACGAAAGAGGCGTTTGAATATTGTCTTGACAACATCCTTGAAGTTCGGAGGAAAAGGTGCACCTACAAAAAAATAGCCCAGTCAACAATGAGAAAGGTAACATAGTATTGTCTGAATTAAGAAAGCAATTGATATCAGTTAGCTAGGAATCCCCATCCCATGCCAAGCCACCTACTCTTGCACATTCGCCCTTCCCCCTCTTGTGAGCCTATTCTTGAAATAAACTCGCACACACTCCCTTTCCAAAAAAACATCAATACACCAAGTACTACACTTAGATTTATTGGATTTGTTGCTAAAATATCGGTATTAAACCCGAAACTCCCGGCAGATGGTCAGTGGCCCAAAGAAACGAAGAATCGGTTACGTTTTTCATATGATCTGGAAAATTTTCAGTTCGCTCAAGATTGCTCCCTCCATCCATTTTATGGAGATAGAAGCTAACATGACTTGCATATTAGCAGTAGTTGTAGAATAGTTCTAGGGAACATAATACAATGTCAAACAAAATCTTAAAAAGAAATAGGAAATTTCAAGCTTGAGATCATAAGCAGAATTCTTAGAACAGTGAAAGAGTGTGAAGCAATTTAGACGTTCCAAAATAAAAAGTCGATCATATAAGTTGGGATAGAGGAGAATTGTTTACATCTCCAAAATGACAGGAAATGTTAGTCAGGAAGCTGGAATAAGCACTTACCAAGCCTTTGAGGAAATATAGATTCGTCATCCAATTGAGTTTCAATCCAATCCATCAAATATTCAACATATTTTGGGGCTGAAACTTCAATAGGCTTCTTAATCTGTACACCATCAGCCCACCTATACTCATACCTGAAACACATTAAACAATCACTTAGTTATTCCTGGTATTAGTTCCATGGTAAACTTTCTCCATTGTAACATTCAAGCCATTTCCTGGAACTACAAATACCAAGCAGACAAAGACCGATATAATTCTAATCCTTTGAGATAAGCTCAGGGAAAATAAAGAAGAAACTCAATAAATGGCAATTAATGAATTGATATCATGAACTCTTAATATTCTGCTTTAGGGGAGTCTTTTCTTGATTATATTTTTCCCATCGTCAAAACAGTTTGAAAGAATCAACTCCCCTTAACCAGAGATAATTGCAGCGACTCTTTTATCCCCAAGGAAAGACAAAATTGCATCTCAAATAATGTAGATAATGTAAATAAGCCGGAAGCAGCTTATTTATGAAACATACTTGGGGCCTGCAGTCATTGTAGGGCAGTTTTCTGGCGTACAGAACTCAGTGAGGGTGCCGTAAAGAAGATTCACCTGGTTGAAGAAATCAACAGCTGGATATTGAAAAACAAACAACCACCATTTAATTAAATATGATCAGCTTACAGCAACAAGTAAGCAAACAGGATGTAATATATGCAGCATTCCATTCTCAGCATTGTCTTCAAACAGAGAGTCACATGTAAAGCAGCATTATAGCTGCTGTGCAGATTCTATCTGCAATGTGAGAATATAGTACATTCCACCAGCCCTTAGACTTGATTTGATGTCCTCACATTTAATGTTTTGGTGAATATGAACTTCTATCAGAATGAAAGTAAGTTGCATGTCATCTCTTTCAGATTTATGTACTAAAAGGATATAATTTCCAAAAAATGGACATATTTATAGGACAAACCAAAGAATTAAAGAACATCAGTCAATTTGGGGAGATTGAAGTGCCTGTTCTTTTCCTTTCCAATAGCCAAAAGAGGAAGGGAGGATAGACTGAAGTCTGGTTCCAGAAGTCAAGATTTTGGAGATTAAAAGTGGCGAGACTCTTACTCTGCAGTTCAATTAACATAGTAAGTCCAGCAATGACATGTTCCAGTTATCTCAAACAGCAGAAGTATAGGTAATACTAATGTTCCAGTGGACGTCTGTCATTATGTATGAGAAGACAGGAGGAAAGAGAGAGAGAACATACTGTTGACAGCTAGCCATTCATTAATATCTTCCCCTGGAGGAAGCCTTACAGCTTCTCTTAAGTTTCCGCTGCCTAATGTGGCATCAATGTGCTTTCTTAACTGAGCCCCCTGTAACCAAAAAAAAGGGTGATGAGCCATTCAAGGGTAAAAAATACAGATCAATTTCAAATCAAAATAAAGATACATTAGAAGAATGATAAACTAGCAAGACAACTAAAAGAAAAAGGAATAATATCGCGCCAAGGATCTAAGCTAAGTATGAGATACTTTAGATCGTAGAACTAGCCTACTATATAAACTTTAACAAGCCAAAATTTGAGGTTGAAAGAGCCTCCAAGAGTGCCAAACAAGTTTTATGTCAAATCATTTGAATTCATTAATTCGTTCTCATCTTGATATTGTTTTGCGTGATAGTACTTGAAAGTGGAAAGAAGTGAACTTAAGTATAATCTTGCTTAACACATTATAGTATGCATGACAAGGGAAGGATAGTATAGTGAAAAAGACTCTCCATCTCCGACAATGAGTTTGGGGATCAGTCACCAAAGGTGCGGACGTGAAAAGTCTCCAATGACCCTGGGGGTTTAGGGATGGGGTTTACCAAGTCCAATAAGATCATAATAACAAGCCTACAATATGCAACTAAATACATAGGCTTTTTCATTCAAAATTCAACTAATGACGAGCTTGTAATTAGCACGAGAAAAATAGAAATCTAAGCATGTTCGGATTATAAAAATGTAGGATCCCTTTAAACTTGAAGATGTCTTTTGTTTCATAAGTTCTGGGAATTGGTGGTATCAACATCAGCATGGTAGCAGCTAAACACTTAACATACAGGAATTAACTACCAAAAAAACAAGAAGAAAGCAACAGAATATCTTCTTTAAACTAGGAACGAGCATAACCTTACTCCCTGAGGGTGCACTCTTTTTGGGCCGGAATGTTCTCTGGTTCCTATAAACCAATACCAAACAAGGTGTTAGATGAATAAGGATATGTACCCATGCCGCCGAAAAGGATAGCAAAGGACACTTTTAAAATAAAGCTAATTGAATGACAAGAAACACAAGGCAAAATAAGCAATAACCTACAAGGTCAAATGGAACTAGTAAATTTGAGAAATAGCGTGATACTCACCCATTAAAAGACATAATTTATAAACATGAATAGCAGAACTAGCATTATCTTCATCGAGCTGAAGCCTTAAGATACAAAAACTTGCTAAGTAACGTGTTATCCTTTTTTATTTACCCAGTCACTACAACTATTGACTAGTTGTCTATTAAACATAAAACCAGGAGGAGCGCAGAGAGAGAGAGAGGACTTTCTCCAATTTTCCACGGCTTGTGAAATTCTCTATGGTTCAAAAAGGGAGATAATTTCTAAAAGTAAAAGAAGATTTCCTTCTTCTTATACACAGCAGAACGTCCAACCTCCTGAATCATCTCTTTAAATAAAATTTGTGGACTTATCCATCTATAAACATTGGTGGAGCCACAACCAATGAAGGGGGTTCAACTGAATCCCCTTTGTTGGAAAATCATACAGTGTAAATTTGCTTTATGTCACAGGTTCAATTTTTTTGAATCCCCTTACTGAAATTTCTGGTCAGCCACTTTCAGTAAACAACCTTTATAATAAGCAAGTTCATCTGCAATTAAAAAGGGTACGTGACTAGCGACTATTCACTGAATATAGCACCAATAACATTTGATCTTGAAATACTAATAACTTAACACCCTGGATTTCTAACCAAAGCAAGTCAGTGATGGACCTAGTTTGTAAGCTATTCTTCACATGAAACCAGTAGCTTTTGCTCAAACTCTGTATATGTATTAAAAACCCACTAAATATCTATAAATATCATGATATTTCTGTAGGAACTAGGAACTCATAAATAACAAATTCTGGATCCGCCTCTGAAGCAAGTGAAGTTAATAATACATGTGAAGTATTATCAATTAGCCACACAGAAAGGAGGAATGCGAAGAACTTTAGCTCCTACCAAATTACAATCTTCTGAAAAGTACAAACAGTTTACACCAAAATAGCCAAATAAAATTTGAAACCGCTAATCCTCAGCATTCAAAGAATAAACAAACAGAAAAAACAGCCTAAAAGGCTAAAAGTCTAAAACCAATAAATCATCATTCGGCAAATATCAACAATAACCATGCTTGGGAAAAAAAAAAGTCCAGATCAAGAAATTCGTTGAAAGGTGATCAGAGATCATGAAAACATATAATTCAGCATCAATTCACAAAAAAGAAGAAGAAGCAATTCACAATCAAATCAAAAGAGATGATTAATTTTACCTTCCAAGGCCAAAAAGACTCATGGTCTTTTAGATATATGGAAAATTTTAAAGAAAAAACGATTCTTTGATAGCTTTTTACGCGAAGAGAAGGAGAAAGGGTGGCAAGGAGAGACTTGGAGAAAGATCGGGCAGCGGAGAAGAAAGCTGCCCACATTGGAGGGGATTTTATTTATTCGCGGGCGGGCAGTTTAGTTTCCTATTTGTTTTTTTTTTAAAAGTAATTAGTGGTAGCATCGAAAAAAGCTGGTGCGCACTGAATTTTCACCCAATGAAAGGAAAAGAAAAAGGAAAATTGCAGAAAGTGATTGGATTTTCTCTGGAGCTAAAGTGACGTATTGCTGACCGCATAGCTGACACGTGGTTTATTGCAACCGATCAATTCAGCACTCTTATTCCTCTTGAGAAACTGGGAAAAGAAAAGGAGCACGGATGCACTAAGTGATGAGGTACGAGAAATTAGTAGTGATAAGTCTAAGGAAAGATAGAGTTAGATGGATGAAGAATTTGAGAGAGTTATTAGATACGACATGATATATTTTTAGCTTATCAATGACATAATCATAGATAGGAGAATATGGATGTCGAGGATTAGGATAGAAAATTAATACGTAGTCGAACAATTTTTCTCTTTTATGTGGGAGATCATTCTTTTAGTTTAGAGCACCTTATTCTTCAATTATCACTCACTATTAGAATCATGGTATTTTTCCACGGAAAAATTGTTAGTGGTAATTCCCACCGAAATTCAAGGGAAAAAGTGAAATTTCTTTTCCACGAATAAACAATAACGTTTCCCATTGACTATTTGTGGGAGCGTTTTTGCGCAAAAATGCGCATAATTTAGTTCCCTCTAATTCGGTGGGAAAAGTCATTAAAAATAATTATATAAAACTAAAAATATTTCCCAGGGAAAACAGTGGGGAAAAGAAAAACGTTTTCAAATATTCCCACAGATTCTGTGTAAACGAAAAAATTTGATTTTTGAATTTTTGTGCTTTATGAAAAAAAAATTCTCATGGAAGTAATGGGAAAGTTTATTATTATTCACATAACCTTTTAGTTTTCTCTTAGTCTATTTCGTGTTTTCTCCCTCTATTTCTCCACTCCAACGACGAATTCTTCACCTCACTCAATTTTCAAGTAAGTCTCTCTCTCTCACCCACTCCTTTTTCAATTTTGATTTTTCGAAACTTAGGAATTTTCTGCTATTTCAAACCCTAGGCTTGAAAAAATTATTATTGTTCTCTTGTGCATGTATAGTCTAATAAAACCTAAGTTCTTATATGTTTCGTCTTAAAAACAATGAATTTGTTAAAAGATAATATTGAGCTGGTTTATTCTTGTTAGTTTGGTCTATTTTTCAGATCTGTTTTTTTATATGGATTGGAGCTATGTATTTACAGGCTTTCTTCACAAATATGGAGAAATTAGAAAGATTTCTAAGTTGCCCATGTCAAAATGAGGAATATTTTCTTCGTTGAGAACTGTAAAATAATGTAGTCTTTAATTAAAAGTAGCTACAGATTTAACAATGCAAGCATAATATTGCTAGGACCGCAGACAAACACCTTCTAAAACTAAAATTTTCACTACAAGAAATAAGTCTAATTGTGGAGGTTTATTTGTGGGGATCATAAGAACCCCCACTGTAAGATCATTCTATGGCATTTCTTTTAATTGCCGTTGTATAATTCTTTTTGTGGCGGTCTTATTGTAGATATTTTTTATAACCTTCACAAATTGCAGCATATTGTGAAGGTTCGTAAATACTGTAATTTAATACAATTTGTGGCAGTTATAACCTCCACAATTTAAGGTGTCAATCAAAAATCTGAACTTTGAAAAAATCTATCTATATAGAATATGAGAAGCAAATCAGTGTGATGATGCCAAGTGTCACAATAAAAATTTAGCAATTGTCAAATTTTAGGATAAAATTAGTTAAGTTGGTTAACAATTAGTTACTCTTTTTGAATTTAAATTTAAAATAAATAAATATCTATATATATTTTTTAAAACTATTAAAAAATAAAAAATTATATAAATCTATAACGTCAATGTAGAGATATATTAAATGATAAGGCTAATTTATTTTTTGGAAATGAGAAAGTTTTTTGAATAATAATTCATATGGTCATGTTATATGCTATATAGATAAGATAAAACTAAAGACAAAAACATAAACAATAATTTCAAGAAATAAATAAAATAGACAAAGATATAATTTAACTTCTTATATAGTAATCTTAATATAAAAATTAAACTTTCATATTTAATTCAAACATGAAGAAGAATCCAATTTAATTTCTTATTGAAAATAATATAAATATAATTATTACAATTATTAGTAGATTTATGACATATAATAAAAGAACTTCTTTATTTAACAATTGGACCGCTAACGTTTAACATATCCACAAGACGAGTGTTGTAGATATACAAATACTAATATGGATGTGCAGTTATAGAAGATTAAATAAGATTAAAAAAAATTATCATCTTCGCTAGAGGTGCAAGTAACACGTATTAAGAATATAATGAGAGGTCAGTTGAGATGGCTTGGTAATAACCTGTGTCAACCTATAGAACAAGTTTAGAACAAAATAAATTTGATTTATTTTAGCTTGCTATATCACTTGCTTCTTACAAGAGGGGAAAAGCCCTTTAAATAGATTATTTCCATTTTAGGTTCTTACCTAACATAATATGAAAAGATTTTGGTTCGATTGACCGAGATTAGGCAGCCAATTCATTTAATTGGATCATCGTCAAGATCGGTGATCGCATTTTCAACTCAGAATCATTTTGGAGATTCTGTATGAAGATTTTGTGATTTTCATTTACCTTGGTGCATTTCAATCTTCACCTTTCAGCTGTGAGAATTAAATTCTCCCAAATTCACTGTGATTTGCCAGTTTGTTGTTCTCTCTGATTTGTTGCTTTGAAAATTCATGAAAGGAAAAAGTTTGTCGACGTCGATTATCTGCGTTTCCAATTTTGGTCAAGGAGATAATAAGAGAAACTCCAATCGTCATCTTCATAATCATCTTCAATCTATTTCTTCTCTGCAACTTTCATCAAGATTCTTGATTTCCATAAACAGATCAGATTTACCATTAATAAAACAGAATATCAAGAAACATAGATTATTTCTGGGTTCTGGCTCTACATCAGAGAATCAAAAAAGACTGCCATTTTCTTCAGCATCTTGAAGAGGACAAGAATCACTCTGCGATTGAATTACACCTTTCCTTGCTGCAATCCAGGTTCTATTATTCCTCTCTTGTCTTGATATTTTAATAGTTTGATATTTTAGCATAATTGTATTCCCTTGCCTGCCTATTTTGTTCTTGAATCTTTAGTTAGTATTTGCCCTAGCATTGTCAAATTAATTGCATTAGTGATAGCTTTGCCTATTTATTTATATTGTTATCTACCTGTTTAGATCAGTATTTTGAATCCTTATTTCATATATACTTTGGGATCTTTAGTTGTAGATTATAGCCTCATTTAGCTCTTGTATTGTATTTCTCCACCTATTTTTATATCCTTTAGTTGTAGATTATAATTCCTTTAGTCCCCCTATTTTATTTTTTCACCTGTTTGTCTGACCTTCAGTTGTAGATTATAGTTCTCGTTAGTTTTTTTATTTTTATTTCTTCACCTTTTTTGCGACCTTTAGTGGTGGATTATTTTTCGGTAATTCATATTATTTTTGTCGCTTGTTTTCAGGATAGTGCTTGTGTAGTGACTAGTAGATTATAGTGGCTTTGGTGAACGCTGGTAGGGTAAGGTCTTGTCCTCGGGAGTGTCAGCGCGGGGGAGAGGGTACGGGGGTTAAGGGGGTAAGAGGGCTAAGGGAGCTACTAGGGTAAGAGTGGGGTCTTGGAACATAGGAACTTTGACTGAAAAATCTATAGAATTAGCGAAGATTCTCGAGAAAAGGAAGATTAATATAGCTTGTATACAGGAGACTAGGTGGGTAGGAGATAAGGCGCGGGATGTGGGCAGTTTCAAACTTTGGTATTCTGGAGGGTGGAGGGCAGGAACGGGGTAGGTATCTTGGTTGATAAGGACCTCTGTGAACTAGTGGTGGAGGTTACGAGGGTGAATGACAGGTTGATGACTATTAAGCTAGTTGTCGGAGATTTTAATTAGAACATAATCAGTGTGTATGCACTCCAAGTAGGCTTGGATGAGGAAGTCAAAAGGTGTTTCTGAGAGGATTTGGATGAGATGGTGCGTGGTATCCTGCATACCGAGAAGCTTTTCATAGGAGGAGATTTCAACAACCACATTGGAGGGACGTCTGGGGGGTATGATGATGTGCATGGTGGCTTTGGTTTTGGAGATAGAAACAGAGGAGGAATGTCTTCGCTGGACTTTGCTAGAGCATTTGATTTGGTGATAGCAAACTCGAGTTTCTCGAAGAATAGGGAGCACTTGGTCACCTTCCAGAGTTCGATGGTCGAGACTCAGATTGATTATTTACTCTGCAGGAAGTTCGATAGAGGTCTTTGCACGGATTGTAAGGTCATCCCGAGTGAGAACCACTCGACCCTTCATAGGCTCCTGGTCATGGACCTTGAGATCACGAGGAAGAGGAGGAAGAGGAGGAAGAAGGCGATGTATAGCAAACATAGGATCAAGTGGGGAGCCTTGACGGAAGCTAAAGCGCAAGAGTTAGGGGCCAAACTGGTGACTATGGGGGCTTGGAGGAGTAGTGGGGACGCAAGCGCTATGTGAACCACGACTGCACAGTGCATTAGGGAAGTCGCGAGAAAGGTATTAGGGGTCTCAAAGGGTTTCTCTGGTGGTCACAAGGGAGACTGGTGGTGGAATGGAGAGGTGCAAGAAAAAGTGAAAATCAAGAAAGTAGCGTATCTGAAGCTAGTGGAAAGTGTAGACGAGGAGGAGAAGAGGGCGAATAGGGAGCATTATAAGCTGGCTAAGAAAGAGGCAAAGTTAACAGTTACATCGGCCAAAACTGCAGCTTTTAGTTGTTTGTATGAGGAACTCGAGGGCCGAGGTAGGGATAAGAGGTTGTTCAGTTTAGCCAAGGCGCGAGAAAGTAAGGCGTGGGACTTGGACCAAGTGAGGTGCATCAAGGACGAAGAAGGTAGAGTTTTGTTCGATGAGGGGCTTATTCGTCGGAGATGGCAGACCTACTTCCATAGT